TTTGCTGCAGGGGAGGCGGATCCCCAGGAGAGCTGCTCAGGCAGCTGATCCCCACACTTCGTTGTGGCTCTTCAGCAGCAGCAGCAGCAGCATCTGCTGCTGCTGCTGCTGTTGTTGCTGCTGCTGCTGACGGAGCATGATCTGCAGCGCTATCAGCAGCAGCAGCAGCAGCAGCAGCAGCAACAGCTGCATCTCCTGCGGCAGCGACACAGTGCCTTCCATCTCCTGTTTCACTGGGTGCTGTTGCTGCTGCTTCTGCTGCTGCTTCTGCTGCAGCTTCTGCTGCTGCTTCTGTTGACGTCGACTTTGCTGCTGCGGGTGCTTCTGTTTCTTCAGTTCCTGTTTCTTCGTGCGCTGCTGCTGCTGCTGCTGCTGCTGCTGCTGTTGCTGCTGCTGCTGTAGTACTGCGACTCTGGGAGGGTGGACGAGGTTCTGCACGTAGCGTCCTCTTGCTGCTGTTGCTGCTGCTGATGCTTTTGCTGCTGCTGTTGCTGCTGCTGCTGCTGATGCTTTTGCTGCTGCTGTTGCTGCTGCTGCTACTTCCTGCATCCCCAAAGGCTGCTGCAGCCGAGCGGCAAGCAGCAGCAGCAGCAGCAGCAGCAGCGGTCTCAGGTTGCTGCCAGCTGGTATGGCTTCTGCTGTTGCTGAAGATCTCATCTGTACGTTGCCTGCTGCTGCTGTTGCTGTTGCTGTTGCTGCTGCTGCTGCTGTTGCTGTTGCTGCTGCGAGCAGCAGCCCAGCGTGCAGCATTAGCAGCCTTTGCTGCTGCTGCATCTCTCCTCTGTTTCACTGCTTGCTGCTTTAGGAGCAGCTGGCGTTGCTGCTCTCGCTGCTGCTCGAGCAGCAGCTGCTTCAGCAGCAGCTCCTGCTGCTGCCGCTGCTGCTTCTGCTGCTCCAGCTGCTGCTGTCTCAGCCTCTGCCGCTGCTTCTTCAGCAGCTCTTGTGTCTGTGCTGCTTCACATATCTTTATATGCTTCTCAATGCGAGACGCAGCAAAGTTCCTACAGCACACACACAAACAAAACCCTGCTGCTGCTGCTGCTGCTGCTGCTGCTGCTGCTGCTGCTGCTGCTGGTGTTGCTGCTACTTCTGCTGCTGCTGTTGCGGGTACTGCGGCTGCTGCTACTGCTTCTACTGGTGGTGGTGATGCTGGTGCTAGTGCTTCTACTGCTGCTGCTGCTGCTGTTGCTGCTACTGCTGCTGCAGCAGCTGCTGCTAGTGTTCGTGCTGCTGCTGTGCGTATGAGTGTGTTTGCTGCTTATTGAAATGTATGCTGACCTCAGACAACAGCCGCAT